ATGAATTATTTTTAATTTTTGGGATGATTTGGATTAGATATGATGTTGTGATAAACTTTCTACAAATGGAGTACAATAACATTTTGTTAGCAGAGAGTTTTGAAACTTTAATTTTGTTTTGTTTTAGTATTATTATTCTTCCTTAACTATTTTGTCACTAATATAATATATAGAAAACAGGTCAATAATCAGTTTTAAATTTTTTTTAAGGGGGCTATTTTGCAATAGATCAGAATCAATGACATAATAATTTTCAATCAATATTAAATTAGGAAGGATAATATGTGTTGGGTTTTTTTGATGTACCTTTTTCTTTTTAACATCTTGGTTAGTTTATGTTTTTCCCCTTTTTAAACCTGGATTTTTGACAGTTTTACATTTTGACTTTGCCCTGAATAAAACAAAAAATAGATGCAAAAAGAAACGTGACAGTTTGAGATTGATCATCTGTACTTTGACAACTCTGAATCAATGTGTTCTATGATCTGTTTGTTTTCTTAGCTACTCAAGGTCAAAACTATCAATAAAGTTTCTGATTGCTTCTTCAAAGTCCAATTTTTACACTCATCATGTGTTACACGGAAAACAATTACCTTCAGGTTTCTAATCTTAATAATAATGTTGATCCCATTATTATAACTATAATTGTCTAAACTGATTAAAATCTTTTATATTAATTACTGGGATAGTTTGAGTCTGGATGACATCATAGAAAGGTAGTAATTATGGTATTAACAATAACAAAGTCCAGCATATAGAACTAGACTGTGGCAAAAGAACGTAAAAGTAGTACCAATAGTAATAGGCACCTTGGGTGGAATCTCAAAACAATTGAAGCAACATTTGAACACCATTAATATTGACAAATCATGACTATCACCATCAGTTTATTGCAAAAGGCAATTTTACTTGGAACAGCTTCCATCCTGCAATGATATCAGTAATACCATCAAACATCCATATCTACCTATACCAGTCCTTGAAAAGGACTTAAGATATAGACAATAATATGAAATCTAGTCTGAACATCTGGCTGATTATGCAACAAACCATGACAATAAATTAATCTTGTAGGCCACCCAACTCTCAACAAATCTAGATAGCTCACAACAATCACATTTTTTCATATATTAACACAAAACTGTAAAAATTCAAGCCATAAAATATAAACGCTCATAATCCATGTTTTGATGATATTCATTTTATAAAATATAGACATTATTTTACTGAACATATCAGTGAAGATAGATCGTTAAAAATAAAATTGGGGAAGTCCTTCAGATTCTGATTCTGTTCACATAATGATACACTATAATTCCACATAGTCTTGCCAGCTTGTTGCCCATCAAATGTATTGTATTTCATCCCACAGTCCTGGTTTGAGGATTATAGGAGTTGAAGTCTAATACATCTGTTGAAGATTGGTTTATTGTTATAGTTCAATTAGGCAATAGTTTTATTTATTTAATCTTTTTGCAGTTGCAAACAGTTGCATTTAAAATATCCAATACTGGACTACAAAGCATTGGATATTTCAATCAACAGATTCTTTAAAACCAGCGTATTAGGATTTGTACAGACTAACATTTTTACCATTTTCTAAAATTGGAAAATTGTATATAATAAGAATAATAAACAACAGCTATTTAAAGAATATATGGAAATAGTTAAATGAATTTGTAGGTTGTAGTTAGGCTGCAGGAGAGGAAAAATAGTTATTCATTCTAGGAAAGTAAAGAGTATGAGAAAGAAACTCAAAACAGTTTGTCCTTAATCTTGTTCCCCATAAATAAAAGGAACAGTTTTTAATATTGATGTCAGCCCTTTGAGGTAGGCCAGAAGATTAAATAGACATTGTAGGAATTCCAGAAATTATACTTTTTGTTGTATTGCAAATTAACTATAGAAGGAACAGATCAGACATCCAGCTCTTGCTTATCAATTGAGATCGAGCAAGTGGCCAGTTTTAAGTTTCTGGGTGTTACCGTAAAAGAGGACCTGACCTGCGGTGCTCACATTGCAGCACTGGTCAAAAGGGCCTAGCAGAGATTATACTACCTGAGACTTCTCAGAAAACAACAACTGAATGAAAAACTGCTGGTGACCTTCTACTGCTGCACCATAGAGAACATTTTAACTTACTGCACCTCTGTATGGTTTGCCAATTGCACAGTGGCAGATAGGAAAGCACTCCAGAGGGTTAACGTCATTGCCCAGAAGATCATTGGTTGCCCTCTCCCCTCTTTGGAAGAGCTTTATAGGTCCCGCTGCCTTAAGAAAGTTCAAGACATTCTCAAAGATCCATCTCATCCTGGGAACCCTTTTTTTGAATTATAACCATCTGGCAGATGGAACAGAATAATAAAAGCAAGGACAAATAGGCTGAAAAACAGCTTCTATCCCAGGGGAGTAGCTCTTTTGAATTCTGCTGTATAGTGCAGTATTGGTGCAGTGTCGGGGGGTTTCGGTTCAACGTGTGGAGGGGAAAGCAATATAAAGTGGTATATAAGTCTAAGTTTTTTTTAATAAACCAATCTTAATTGCCACCCTTTGCTTTTTGATTTCTGTTCTATCTGTAAATCTTTTTTTAAATAAATGAATTAAATACCACCTTAGGTAAACTCTTTATATGAAGGCAAATTACTATATAATTTGTCTTTATATGTTAATGTTAATTTTACTTATACTGTATTATATTTTATAATTCAAGGCAGCAAACAAACACAGTAATCTTTCCTCTTTCTCTTTTTCCTACAACCACAGCCCTGTGAGGCTGAGGTGTCTTTCATGCCTAAGGGGGGACTAAAACTCACAGACACGTGGCTTTTAGCCTGTTACTTTAACCACTAACTCAAACTGGGTCTCATATATATAATGAGATTACTCAAGGTGAGTAAATACTAAATATTACATTGCAGAAAAATGTCTTAATTTTTTAAAAATAATTTACAGCATGTACATTGACAATGTTTTTTTTACTATAATATGATTTAAAATTTTCTTCTATTAAGTAATAGTTGTACGGCCATTTCATATTTTTAAATTTCTTATATTGGCAAAAACATATATCTAATTTTTAGGCTATCTATTTAAGAAGAAGAAATCATATTTACTGCTTAAACTTAAATCGGAAGCCAAAGAGTATGCTAAACTGCTAGAATGAACAAATAAAAGGTTTTGGGCACATATCCAGTTTTAAATCAGAGACTAAACAAGAGAATTTCAAAGATGGAAGAAGGAATGCATAGGTCAATGTGGAAAATATGTCCTAAGTCACAAGAAATATTTTCCCAGCTAAAATGAAATCACTTTTCATAAAGAATGATGATTAAGGGGAAATTTATAAGAATAAAGAATGCTTTAGAGATTTTTTTAAAAAAGGATTGCCCTTTTCTCTCTTTGAAAAAACAATGACACAGATAATTAAAAATTATTTCAGTACTTTTAAATCCTTCAACTTGAAAGTATTAGGATAATGTTTTAATATTATTGCTCAATATTTGTACTTGGTTAAAAATCAAACACAGATTTCTATCCTTTCAGAAATGAACCATTTTATAAATGAGCCATTTTGCTAAATAATTTAAAAATATGTTGAAAGGCTTGTCACCGAAGAAAATTATATACCTGTTAATTTTTTGTTGAATAAAAGATTGCAAAGTAATAGGTTTCATAGGTTTCTTTTGTGTAATTACGCTATCTTTTGTATACTGTTTGACTCAAGATAAAATATTGCTATGTCCACACATGCTGAAAAATAAAAATAAAATTATATACTTATTAAACAATTGCAATTGTTAAAAAAATGCAGTAACCTGCTATGCAAGTGTGCCTACAGATATATGTAGAAAGAGTATGGTTTGTGAACACATTATGTTTATACTTGGATATGGTCCATAGTAGTTACCATCTGTCCCTTGAAGAGTAAATTGTCAATTTAACAAATTCTCTGGCAATAGTTTTTTTTGCTTTTTTTTTACTCTGGTACATTAGTACTGGCATGATATTATAATATTTATTGCTCAATGTTTGTACAAAAACAAATCCATATTTTCAAACAGGAGTCCCATATATTCAGAATTCCAGAGCTATTTTCAAGGCAGTGATTAGCACAACCATAACTTCATTGCCAATAAATGAGGTGTCACAGAATATGTTCCCAAACCTGATGATAACTATGGGTTTCTCTTCATTTATTCTCATAAAGAGTTCAGATACTTTTAACTGCAGTAACTGGATAATGTCTTATTATGGAATGGATGCAGCGGTTCCCATTACAGACACAGATCCAGATGCTTGGAAGGCAAGTACTAGAAAATGAGTCACCTTTCATACATATGCACGTCATCCCAAACACTGCCTGAATAGGAAAATGACTCTTTCTAAATGTAAACCCAGAGTGAGGAAGTTTTCTTTTATTGCAACATCTCTGGCTACATGACGTTTAGAAAAGCTAATAACAAGCCACTCTTCATGTGTCCCATAATTTCATGTTCTTTGCATTTGACGTGAATGGTGAATGTAAGGATTACTTTCATAGGCAGAAATAAAAAACTGGCAGAATCATTTAGTTATTAATTTCAAAATACACATAATAAAACAATCATGAATCAGAGAAATGTACTGTCAAAGCATAAAGTTGCAGTTTTGAGTCGAATCCTATTGGGGTATATTTGAAAATACAGTACTGAGTTATTACTGATTTAATGAGATTTTGTTTCACATAAGAAGCTTTATTATTGCTCCCCCTTTCAGTGAGTCACAAGGAGGAGAAATGTCTGTTTCAGTAAGATCAACTGCGATTAGATTCCCTGTCTTTTGTTGGAGCCCTACCCTTGCATTTCTAAGCCGGTCAGTATTTCTTATCTATATTACATGAATCTGATTCATCTCAAAATGAAGTCACCCGAAGACATTGACACATTCAGAAAGCAAGAAAACAAAATATAATATAGGTAAGCTTTCAGTGCAGAAAGGGTCTACAGCATAAAGGTCCTTACCTTAAAATTGTGTGCTTTTTCATAGTTGAAATGGTTGTCATTCTGGGTCAGTGCTGCTCTTCTGATCAAGGAGGTAATCTGTGAATAGGCAAAGAGTTTCAGCGGTTGCCACAAGAGTGCCCCTTTTACTCCCATCTTAACCCCCAAGGTTACTGCCAGGAGTTCTTGGCGCTTCCGTCCTTGCTTTGATTTGTGAACCACAGCACAGGCTTTCTCATTGTCAAGCCACAGCTCCTCGGCAAACATAGTGCTTGGATCCCAGATCTTTTCCTTGTCTTCTGCAGAGGCTGGGAGGCTGACTGCTGTCAGCTTGGACCAACTGCTTCTTATGTTAGACAGCAGATTTGAAGCAGCTGCGGCAGCCCATTCTGAGGAGATCTTTGGCATGTGACTTGAATGGGCTGTCTTGCGTGGTGGAAGGAGCTCCTGCATCTGAATAAGTAACAGTCTGCTTTGTGATACTTTAAAAAAAAAAAGTATGCACAGAACAATAGCCTGGATTCATGTACAGAATGACTCCCGCTTCTGGCCCTCCCCAGAGCAGAAGATTCTGCCAGGCGCTGAAGAAATACCAACAGCTTTACAGCTTCATGCCACAACACATCTCCAAGGATAGATCACATCTACATGGGAGCACTTTTTTTGTTTTCATAAATAACTCTAATGCTGCATCCAACTGTGCTCAGAACTGGAGACTTCTGAACTCTTCCAGTACAAACATCATCATATTAAGCCTTTAAACCACAGTGATTCTTTAATCCTCTCTCTCTCTCTCTCTCTCTCTCTCTGTGTGTGTGTGTGTGTGTGTAAGAATACCCTCCTCTTTTTCATATCCTGTAGAAAGGAAAATCTAGTAGCATTTGAAAGATTAGTAGTCCTGGCTGCCAGCACATTAAATGAAGATTGTTGCTGGCATTCTCTACTTTTGCAATACATAAAATAAATTGCAGTTTTCCCCCTCATAATTTTAAAATAACATTCAAAGAATGTCCAGGCTATTAAATTGCTTAAGGAAGGGAAAAAGAGAGAAAAAGAGAATATCAGAAGAAAAAAGAAATACTGAAGTATAAAAATTCAGCTAGCCACACAATTTTTATGGTACAGTTGAGATTCCTTCTGTTTTGTGTGTGTGTGTGTGCGTATCTAAGACTATTATGACAACACTGTAGAATTGAGAAATAATTCAGTCCAAATGCTGTCTACAACAAAACGTTGCAGTATTGAACCAGCCAATTTTGTATTTCCTCATTTTACTATTCCAGCTTCTCACTGCTTTCTGCTCCCCCTCCCCCCAAAAGTGAAACTAAATATCCATCCATAGATTATTATACAGGTAGTCCTTGACTTAAAACCACAATTTTGTCCTAAAATTTCTGATGCTAAGTGAGACAATTGTTAAGTGAATTTTACCCCATTTATGACTGTAAAGTTATAAAATGTCAAAGTTGTCAAGACTGAGAAATACTAGGCTTAAGAAGACATTTAAGAAAATATCTTACATATTTTATGTAAAATGTTTTTACTTCCCATTGGGCTGTTTCTGCCCACCAAAGTTCTTTCTTTCTTTTTGGAGAACTTAGGTCACCCAAACTTTTCAATTTCCATTTCTAGTCTAAGTTTCAGCATCTGGAAAATAGTTAATTATAATAGCTGATTCTATGGAGATATGCCCCTTGATGAGCATTTTAAAAGTCAAGTAGACAATATAAAGTAATGTAACGGATGGTCATTAACATGACATAATATATGCATCAAGGTATTTCTTAAAACTATTAGATCTGGCCAAATGCAAGCAAATACCTGGCTAATCACTACAGAACGCTTGCCCATTTAATGGCAGTTTTGACTTATACCTGTACAAATTTCTATTAGATTTCAGGGTCTAATTCAATACTAATCTTAATACTTAAGGTCTATGTGGCATAAATCCTGGCATTTCCCCAAGACTTTAAAGCTTATTAAGATGTATTCCATTTTATCACTTTGTAGTTCAATTAAACTCATTGTTCCTAGGGCCGTGATGGTGAACCTATGGCATGCGTGCTACAGGTGGCACGCAGAACCATTTGTGCAGGCATGCGAGCCCCAGTCAAACTTACCTGCACTGCACATGTGCGCACCTCCAGCTGATTTTTGGACCATTTGAAGCTGTTTTCACCCTCCCAAGGCTCAAGGGAAGCCTCTGCAGCTTCGGGAGGCCGAAAAACAGGCCTTTCGGAAATACTTGAAGTGCCAAAATGGTCCATTTTCATCCTCCCGAGGCTCCTGAGGCTTCCCTTGAGCCTCCAGGAGGGCAAAAATGGCATCCCCCGGGCCCCACTGCTCCTTCTGTATCAGTGGTGGGATTCAATTTTTTTAACTACTGATTCTGTGGGCGTGGCTTGGTGGGCGTAGCAGAGGAAGGATGCTGTAAAACCTCCAGTCAGAGGTGGTATTTGCCATTTCTCTGACTACTCAAAATTTCCGCTGCCAGTTCTCTAGAACTGGTCAGAACCTGCTGAATACCACCTCTGCTCAGGAGGCTGAAAACAGGTACTTCTGGTATTTTTGGAAGGCCCATTTTTTTGGTTTCTCAAGGCTGCAGAGGCTTCTCTTGAGCTTTGGGAGGATGAAAATGGTCTCAAATGGGCCAAAAATTAGCTGGGAGACATGCACATGTGCAGTGCAGGTAAGGGGGCAGGGTGAGGGTGTTGCAGGTGCATGCACAGGGGACAGGGCGCATTGGATTGTGGGTGCCGGCACACGCGCACACGCGCTTTCGGCACACCACAACAAAAAGGTTTGCCATCACTGTCCTAGAGGTTCTCAAGAATCTGTCCGCTAGAAGGTTCTTGTCTTCTCTCACTTCCTTTTGGAAACAAGCCAGGACATTCCACTAGAAAATTAGAACATATTTAAAATAATTTATTAATTATAAGTTTACTGTTTTGTGGTTTGGCTAATAACCTTGGCACTTGAATTATTATTATGTTGATAGGTTTGTCAACTAGATTGATAGTTTACAAGCAGTATTAATACGTGAAAGTATATAAAATTGTTATCTGAATAATATTAAACTTATATTATATTAAATTTAAAATATTAAACCTTTAAATAGTAAGGCAATTTACCAAATCTTATTAGCCTATTCTTATTTTTTAAAAATCACAGAAGAGAATGTTCCATGTTATTCTAATCTATATAGATCTATTTGTAGAATTTCATGAAAGTCTGCTGTTGAAATTATTTCTTCAGCTCGGCCACATTCCTGTCTTTTTTATTCTTTTTGCTTTCAACAATTTCTTACAGATCTCACTGCTGAAATATCCACAACACTCTGCTGCTAAATAAATCCATTTTCCAGTTGATAAGACAGCTGAGAGCTACTTTTAGGTAAGCTAATAGAAAGGTTTGGACCTCCTCAGGGATAATGTTTCATGCTCTTCTGTCCTCCCTCATGCCATTGGTGGCCCAATAGCTAGTAGATAATAGATTCAGAAAAAAACATTCTTTTTAAAAAGCTTCTGTTATTGTCGTTCAGCCTTTGGTCCTGTATTTCTTAACTGTAGCAATTTAAGATGGACTTCAACACCTCATAGTCTTGCTCCAGCATACTGACTAATACTGGACAAATATGGGAACTTAAGTCCACACATCTTAAAATTGCCAAGATTACCTGAACAATACAGCAGAAATACTATACTCATTTGCCTGGGATTACTAGCATAATTGAATTCAGTGATTTTTTTTTCCTGAAAATATTTGTTTGGCATTGCACAGTACATTGCATTAGGCAAGACTGTCTGATATCTATCATTTGATCAATTTTTAACATCTTATTTATTCATTTTCTTCTTTAAGTTGATGCAAAATGAAATTATTTATCTTTAAGTTACATAACTCAGTCCTTAGTTATGTTAAATGGATATTTTAAAAAGGAAATGTTAGCTTGTAATATTTGCCTTATTATATTTGATTTTCTTTTAGTGCACAATGTATTCATGAAAGAACTAAAGAAATAACTCACAAGCAATGGTGACACTTTTCAATATACCTGTTTGCTTATGTGCTCTGGAAACAGACATATTTTGTGGCGTTGCTGGAATAATTTAAATAGGTCAACAGCACCAACACAAAACTATGAGGGTGAGGTCAATTTTCTAGTAATCCTTTGGCATTTGTATTATATCACTTAAATTATAAAATCCTATTATATAAGGTACAGTACATCATTATGCAATACTGCAGTTACTCTGCTCCAAATACAAGATTATACATAAAACATCTTATTAGAATCCTGACTTTAATGAGCTGCTATTTCTCCTAGTTTCGTTAAGACATAAAATTCTCCTATATGTCTCCATAATTTGTGCTAAGCGTCATAACATCTATTCAAATAGGCTGTTATTTAAAATTGTCATTTTATCATAATGATGTATTTTATTAATAGTCCAGTTTTGACTTTGGCCAAAATGTCAGTAGCTTCAAGAATACATCCATGTAGTTTGCTTGGCAACAATATTAGTTCACTTATTTTAAAACACCTTTCCTTCAGGTGCTCAAGGCATGATGTTGTAGGGAGCAGGCTTGGCTAAATGCTGTTTGTGCAAAACAGAAGAATGAATACTGGCTTCATAAGGACGGCAAAGGTATTTGTGTCTAACCTTTTTCATTCATGAAGGTGTGAGAGAGAAGGCGTCAGATACTCTGATATCTGTCTGTGGTATACAAAGGATAGTTGCTTAGTTACAGGAGCAACTACTCTGTTAAACATTGGTATACCTCTCTGATTCTCTTCATTTTGTCACTGAACTAGAGTGAAAACAGATCCAGAAACTGGTTGCAGCAGAACTAAAACCTTGATTGTATTCTGGCAAATATATATTTCTATATATTTGAATACACTATTCATAATTTTAGCTGGATGTATCTGACATGCAACATAATATGTGAAAATAATATAATAACATTCTTCAAACTCAAAGTTTTCAAAGGATCAGCACTATGAGAAAGTCACATGATGCACTTGGACATCCAAATATACTTCTCAGCATTTCAAGTTACAAAAGAGAAGTCACTAGGATTCGTTAAAATGTGGT